TTGGTTCGGTTTCCGGTTTTATAATTTTTGTTAATGGTTAAACCGATAACCCAATAAGACTATACTAAATTTACTAGTCTTATTCTTAATGGTTAAACGATTGTTGCTTTCACACTTTTTGTTAATAGTTAAACGATTGTTACTTTCACACTTTTTCCTTTGAATGTGTCTAGTGTCTAAACTTGCAAGAAAAATGATTGTTACTTTTATGATTATTACTTTCATGCCAAATGCTGGAAAAATCATATGGTTTATTTGAAAATTTTCTTATCGTGTATATAATATATATGAGTATTTTCTTATTGGTTAAACCGAAAACCGAACCGTTAAGTACCATAAACCGATTAACCAAAAATCGATAAGAAATATGTTATTGGTTTGGTTATCGGTTTGAAGTATTTACAAACCGAAAACCGATAAACCGAACCAATAACACCTAAAACCGAACCGAATCGACCGATGCGCACCCCTAGACTAGTACCATGTAGTTCTTGTCATATGTTGTTTAATGTATTTGGATTATCACACTATTTTGATGTAATTGTTTTTCTCTTATAGACTTTACATTGGTTTTCTTATTAACCATGCATTACCATGTTTTCTTCCATTATTTTCTTTCTCTTTTACCTAGGTTTGATACATTTTGTGGAATTTTACTGATATGTTATTGTTGTTGAGATTAATTTAAAATTTAAAACGTATATAACATTTTATATAGAGTCACCATTAAAGAATTTGGTGTGGTAGATTAATTTTTATTTATTAATTAGAGGTCTTGAATGTGAGCCTCGATATAGAAAAGTTTTTTGGGGAAACACTTTCCTCCCTCCCCTCCTCTCTGAATGAGATCTTACACATCGTAAATTTAAATAAGTCAAAATTCATACGAATATTGAACCCCAAATGTTTTTTTCTTAAATAAGGTGAAATATATTATTAAAAATAAGGGGGAAAGGGGGTTTAAAGATAGTGATTTCTTTTTTAGATAAAGTAAAAATTCAACTATATTAGTAAATAAAATTCGCCAAGTTTAGAAGAATCAAAATCTATTCCTTCTCAATTAAAACGAAAAAAAAAAATACATTCGATCCTTTGATTGTTCTTGGAAAGAAAAAATATCATTTGATTGATTTCTTAGTTAATATTATTATTCTTTATACATAATGGAGTATAAATATTCATTGGGACTCCAATTTTCATATTGAAGACAGTTGTATTCAATAATGTTTTAAATCACATTTCCATGATTTATGAAATTATGAAAGTAATTAATTGTTTGGAATTATTTTTGTCAAAGAAAAAGCTAATTGACGAATAAAAACGAATAGGTCATTCATTTGCTAGCTGATTAGAGTTATGCAGATATTAATTATGAGAAAATATATTTGTTATTATATCGGATTTAGTTCTTTTGTGTTAGTTATTTCATTTTCTGTTATGCATAAAAATATATGTAGATTCTCTCATAACTTATACATTTATTAATTTTGTGGCCTTTAAATTACAAATCAAATATTATACATTAAGTTTTATATATAAATAACTTACTTTCTAATCAATTATCTAACATTATATATTATGCGAAAATTTAATATTTGCGTGACTCACCTTCTAAATTGATTACCAAATTACCCCTTAGAATACTATTATTATTTGATAAATAAATGAACAAGTAAAAGTGAAACACGAGAATATTTGTGACAATTTTCCATTAAAACTTTGTGGCTCAAAATATTTTAGATAGAACGACGTCGTATATTCAATCTCCTAACTTTATTTCCAACTTCCAACAGTTAACTAATCCGTATGGACGGGATGGTATTCATAATCATGTGGCGACACGTGTCAAAGTTTCTCACCACTTCGATAAATGCCGGCCGTCCATTTAGGTAGCCAAACATCAATTAATTTTAATGTATTGTATTGTATTGTGTTATGTTATGTTATATCGTATTGTATTGCTTTAGTAAATATAATATTTGAATAGATTGTATTGTTTTTCATCGTTACATAATGTTACGTATCTATAATTTAAATGATAAATCTACAAGAAAAGTAGGGTACATGATAGAGCTACTATGAAAATGTAGGATAAAAGATGAAATATAATTATTAAAATAATAAATAAAGATAAAATGAGAAGAAATTAGTAAGGGAATGATGTGATCACCCCAAATCGATCGTTATATAAAATGAGTCTTTTCGACGTTACCTAACGATGAATTTAAACGATACGATACAATAGAATTTAAGTAACAATTAAAACAAACTTTGTATTTAAACTAACAATACAATACAACGGGTAACAACCATTCAAACAAGGTGTAAACCGGAGGAGAAGTATTGAAAACATGTCTAAATTCATCGCGAATTATTAGTTTTACCCTTAAATTATTGACAACTTCAAAAAGACTCTTTTACTTGACTAACTGAACTTAAATACACATTCGATCTTGCAACATGAGTGAAATACACTCTAAAATTTTGCCAACTCCAGTGATGTTTTCAACTCTTCTATCAGTTTTTTATTAAGAGTCTAATGCCCCTATAATAGTTTAAAGACCACTAACTATATCATGTAGCAGATCGAGAGTGTATGTAAGTTTAATTATAAGTAAAGTGATATTTTTAAGGCTATCAATAGTTTGGAAACCAGAATAACGATTTGTGGATATCTATGGTTAAACCGTGATTAAGGTAAGAAGCATGTGGGAGCTTATTGTGGCAATAAGGCCACAAAATGGATTATAGTTTTGAGTGATATAATCCTATGAGCTGATGATACATTAATTTTACCCAAAAATGACCATTAGAGGTGAGTGCACTATGTACTTTACAAGCAACATAAACAATTTTGTGTGATATTTATTTAGTTTTTATAAAAACCTTAATGATTCTATTTTTATCTTTCAAATAAATTTAGATTTAAATTTTTTATTTTACTTTTAAATATTTCTTCTATCCTAATTTATTTGAATCATCTCCCAAAAAAAAAATAATACATTTTCTTATACGAAAAATATTCAATAATACTATCAATATTTTTCATGTTGGATCTACTTATTTGACAAAATTCCTTAAGGTTTAACTTTTTAAAGGTAATTTCAAAAATTATAATTTTTTCCATATTTCGTAAATTCAATGTCCAGTCAAACTATATATAAATTGGAAAAATTGGAACGAAGAAAATATTATTTATGGACACAAAAATCTAAAAACACATTTAAAATCATAAACTAATTCTTTTTCTTAAAATTAAAAGGAAATAGTTCGAAGTGGGTGGGAATATCGAGGAGATATCTCGCTGCAGGCACCACCAGCATGATACATTAAAAAAAAGTAACGTATTATTTTACTCTTTTGTTTTTCATGATTATTATTTTTTTAAAAATAATTTTTTTGAGTTTAAGAATAAATTAAACTTTTAGGAATTACATTAATCTCTTTGCTTTTTTAAAAATAAAAATAAAATCATCATATGTTCTATTTTCTCGAAATCCTAACTAAGGTAACACAAAAATGTATTACTCTAGTATTTTTTTTAAAAAAAATTGAATTCTCAAAATAATTTACAGTCGCTATAACTTATATACTACATGTATCCTTCAAGTGAGTATTCAGGGGTTATAATTGTAAAATAAATTTCTACATATATTAGTAATCTATTTAATTGGGAATTTATTTAATTGAGAATTTTACATAAATCTCGTAGTGTTAAGAACTAATTACATTATATTTCTACTCTTTTTCAAATAACAAAAAACTCTTAAATTTGGTGAAATCTGAATACAATCTCAAAACGTTCCTATACATCACATCGTGATTTCAGATAGATCTCTCAATTTCCTGATACATCACTCAACGTCGTGATACATTGCGTACATCTCAATACATGTGTAAAGTGATGTATTCGATTGATACATATTCGAGAATAGGAGAGAGAGTAGAAATTTTATAACTTTTTCAAATGGTAAGAAATTCTAGAGAATATATTAAAATAAGTTTGTGTATTTAAATCATTTTTCCTATTTAATTTGATTTTTTTTTTCACTTTCCTTGTAACTATACAAGAGTAAAATTATAATATATAGTATTTGATTTGATATTTTTTTCTCTCTCTTCAATGTATAAAAGTCATAGAACCCATCTTTGTTATCCTTCTTTACTCCTGTCTTAAACAGACCGTTTCTTCTATTTTATATTTTCCCCCTTTATTTCTTCTCTCTTCTTTATTTGAATCCTGCTCTTCAAATTAACCATACTTTTTCCTACACTTCTCTCAGGTAAATTCCTCTTATGATTTTGCAAATTTATTCTATTTTTGTGTTGAACCTCAAATTAGTTTAGAAAAATTGATTTGTGTATAGTATGATTTTTGTTATGATGGAGGTATAGCAAGGTAGTATATACTGTTAGGACTGTGATATGCTTTGTTTTCCATCGTTTTTTTGAAGCTCGAATTTTTGCTGTATTAAATTATGTGTAGATCTGTGAAAAAATCGAAGAAATCATCTGATTTTCTCGACTCTACAGTAATTTTTGTTGAGCTGGAAATCTGATAAGCTAAATTTTATGAACTTTTGACATGATTTGAAGCTGTTTTTGTTTTTTCAGATCCACGTTTTTCTAATTTTTTTCGTTTTTTTTTTCCGGGTGATTTCTAAGTTTTTTCAACGGTGAGCCTTAGGATTTTTTTTTTTTTTTCTAGTTTTGAGTTATATTATGCTCCTTCAAGTTTATATGAATCTGGAAAAAGACGATCTCTTAATTTCTCATAATTTAAAGTATAATATTATGTTTAATTTTTTTTAGATCTACGATCTTTTAATTTTCCGGCAACGGAAAGATCAAATTATGCGCCGGCTAATCTCCGCTTTAATTTTTATTTTTTTTAAGCTTTGACCAGATCTATAAAATTCCACATAATAATTCAAGGAAATAATTTTTTTTATTCTCACGTCACTGTTGCATATCTTTAGATCTGTCAAGTCTATCTAGGATTATTTTTTTCTTTTACTAAATAATTCTAATTTTTAATAAAAAATTATATTTATTTACCTTTGGTGCAGGCGTTGGTTATACTATTAAAAGATCTTTTATTTGTAGAAACTTGAAAAATGAATCACTGTTCTATTCAACAAAGCAACTTTGCTGCTTGTGAAGAGATGAGGCGTTCTTATTCATCCATTTCCGATAAGAAAGACGCCGTTGTTTGCCCAAAACCTCGACGTATTAGCCCTACGAGACCTCTCAGATGGCATGTCAGGTAAATTTCTCCTTTTTATTGTTTAATCGTGATGTTCAGGTCAGCTTACGCATGATTAATCCCACAGCATAGCCGTCAAATTTCACTATATCAGATAATTTTGTTCACTATGTTTTAGGAAAAATGAAAAATCGTATTTTTATTATATTTTATTAACCACTAAGCCACACTTGTGCCGTCACCATACTGATCAAGTTTTTATCTCCTTTTTCAGCCATCAGCAAGACCTTTGTGATTCAAGAGCTGGAGCTGATTTATTGGATATCATCCTCACAAAGGTTAGTTTATCACTTTTGTTAAGTAACTTCTTTTTTTAAAAAAATTGACTTTATTTTTTTTTGGTTAGTAAGGGATGGGTATATGGAATTCATTTTATTTGTTATATAAGCAAAAATTAATTAAATAAAATTAAAAAGAGTGCATTTGTGGACCTATTGAAAAAGGCTTATGCCCAAGTGTGTGGGCACCATGTTCTTGTCGGTGCTAGCCGTAGAATGTGAATTTCATGTTTTGCTTTCATCGAGTGGCTTACAAGCAATTAACATATCATGATTGATTAATTTTCTTTTTGGGGTCCATCTTGTCTACTTATATATGTTTAAAGTATTGTTCTTGTGTTCCAATTTATGTGACGGTATTTAATTGAATACGGAGTTTAAAATAAAGATTTTTTAAATTGATGTACTATGGACAAGTAAAAAGGAAGAGAGGGAGCAAGCCATAGATGTGTGTTGCATAAAATTAGGAATGAAGTATCCTACTTTCTCGCTATTCATAGGGTTCAACAAGCAATCAGTATTTCATGATTAAGGGTGTAATACTCTTTGTAGTAGCGGTCGTTATATATCGCATTAACAATTGGAATATGGTCGAAAAAGGATACTCTTATTGATAGGACTTCTTCCTATACCTATGAATTCCATTGGACCCAGAAATGATTCATTGGAAGAATCCTCCGCGGGTCTTCTAATATCAATAGGTTGATTCGCTCCTGTATCTTCCCAAAGGAGAAAGATCTTTGAGAGTTTGTATCCTGAATCCGAAAAAGAGTACTTGGGTTCTCCCAATAACTAAAAAGAAAATATTTTTTGCCAATGTATGCATAGTCCCCTAAAAGGTTCTCTAGATTCATTTGCTAATTTATGGTTTTGAAAATATATACAGGGTGATGGTAGTAGTGTGGATCAATCAGCAGCAGCTCAAGTAGCCTCGTCGCCCCCATTTTTTTGTGGGTCACCGCCGAGCAGAGTATCTAACCCATTGATTCAAGATGCCCGATTCTGGGATGAGAAGGTCACCCCACTATCCCCACGGGCAATACCAATTCCCTCTGGATTGGCTTCGTCCCCCTCAACATCATCCGCCAGAAAAGGCGGATGTGTGAGCAGGGCGAATTTTGGCCATAATCCAGCAGTGAGAGTTGAAGGTTTCGATTGCCTTGACAGGGATCGTCGTAATTGCAGCATCCCTACTTTGGCTTAAGAGAAAACAGTACATAGAGAGAGGAAGATTTTCGTCGACTGAGAAACTAAGTAAAAAGATCCTTTTGCCTAGTGTAAATAAGTTCAAAAGGATCTCTATGTAAGTAAAAAATGTAATATAGTGTCTTTTTGTCTCTGTAAGTAAATGAGAGTCGTTATTAACAAAGTTATTAGAGTCTAATTAGGAGTAATTTAATGGTTTCTTGTTCAAAGAGATTTTGTAAAAAATGAGAAACGAAAAATTAGTTGTTGAGTGGAGTTATTGTAAAATGTGTATGATATGTATATAAAAATTCCGTTTACGGCTTTGATTGTTGTGTTGCAATTTAATGCTTGTGTGGTGTGAAGATGCTTTGCTGGTTTGTCATGCCAAACGCGTATAGCTCTTTGCTTTGTTTTGGCATTTTACAAGTCCAACCCAGCTGGATGACCGCTCTTTTTACCATATCACTGTCCTGGCATTAACGTTGGACTATTTTTTATTTGCGTCTTGTTTAAATTTGAAAAAAGAAAAAACTATGTTTGTTCCTCTGAACAAACCCGCGTCATTAAATAGGTCGTCATGGATGTCTGTAAAATATGGATATAACATGCGAAGAATGAAAATTCTCTTTTTTCCATTTTGGGCCTCGATTGAATATGAAAATACCAATGTTTGCTCCTCTGAACCAACGTGTACCATTCAAAAAGTCGTCACCGATGGCCACAAAATTTTTTGGTAAAAATAAATGTAGGGCACACAAATCACCCAAATTTCATGGACTATGAAACACGAAAAATGGAAAAGTCCCTATTTTCCGTTTTGGGCCTTGTTTCAATTTGTAAATACTGATATTTACCCCTTCGAACCAACACACGTCATGTAATATGTCGTCATGGACGCCCACAAAAATTCCGACAAAAAAATCATCGGACACAAATCACTCAAAATACATGGATTAACAGATGAAATATAGAAAAATCCCCTATTTCCCGTTTCGTGCCTCATTTGTACTTGAAAATACCAACGTTTGTCCCTTCGAACCAACGCACACCATTTAATAGGTCATCATGGACTCCCACAAAAAAAATTGGCCAAAAAATCGCACGGTGCACATATCACACAAAATTTATGGACTATAACACACAAAATATGAAAAATCTCTATTTCTCGATTCGGGTCTCGTTTGAACTTGAAAATACCAATGTTTGCCCCTCCGAACCAACGCACATCATTAAATAAGTCGTCACGGACTCACACAAAAAATTTCGGCCAAAAAACATTCGGGCGCACATATCACCCAAAATTCATGGACTATAACACAAAAAAAATTCCTATTTCTCGGTTCGTGCCTCGTTTGAACTTGAAAATATCAATGTTCCTCTCGAATCAACGCACACCATTTAATAGGAACGTCATGGACGCTCATAAAAGATTTCCCTAAAAAAACCGTTGAGCATACATATTACCCAAGATCTATGGACTATAACAATGAAAAACAATCTTTCTTATTCGGGTCTCGTATGAAATTGAATATATCTACGTTTTCCCTTCAAAACAAGTGCACGCCAATTAACAGGTCTTCAAAATTCATGGTATATAACACACGAAAAATGAAAAAATCAATTTATCCTGTTTCAGGCCTCGTTTGAACTTGAAAATACCGATGTTTGTCCCTTCGAACCAACACACACCTTTTAATAGGTCGTCCCACATAACCACAAAAACTAGTCGGGCACACAAATCACCCAAAATTCATGGACTATAACACATATAAAACAGAAAAATCACTATTTCCCGTTTCAGACCTCTTTTGAATTTGAAAATACAAACGTTTGCCCCTTTGAGCCAACACACGCCATTTAATAGGTCGTCACGGACGCCCATGAAATTTTTTGGCCAAAATCCGTTAGGCGCACATATCATCCAAAATCCATGAACTATAACACATGAAAAATGAAAAATAATCTCTATTTTTTGTTTCGGGTTTCGTTTGAAATTGAAATATCAATTTTTACCCCTCCGAACAAACACATGACGTTTAATAGGTCGTGACGGACGCCGACAAAAAGTTTCGGCCAAAAAATAATTGGGCGAAAATATCACCCAAAATTTATGGATTATAACACACAAAAATATATAAATCTCTATTTTTCTTTCAGGGTCTCATTTGACCTAGAAAATATCGACGTTTTCCCTTCCAAATCAATGCATGACATTTAATTGGTCATCCAGGACACTCATAAAAAATTTTGGTAAAAAAAACACTGGGTGCGCATATCACATAAAATTCATGGACTACGAAAAATGAAAAAATCATTATATCTCGTTTCAAACCTTGTTTGAACTTGAAAATAACGACGTTTGCCCCTCCGAGCCAACGCACGTCATTTAATAGGTCATGGACGCTCATAAAAAAAATTTGACAAAAAAAAGCATTGAGCGCACATATTACCCAAAATTCATGGATTATAACAAACGAAAAATGGGAAAATCAACATTTTTCGTTCCAAGCCTCGTTTGAACTTGAAAGTACATATGGTTACCCCTCCGAACCAATGTACGCCATTTATACTACTAATAATCCAAAAGATTATAAGACACGAAAATGAAAAAAAAATTACTTCTCGGTCCGTGCCTTATTTGAATTAAAAGTATCAACGTTTGCCCCTGCGAATCAACACATGCCATTTAATAGGTCGTCAAGGACACCGACAAAAAATCGTCAGGCTCACATATCAGCCAAAATATATGGACAATAACACAAGGAAAATGTAACAATATATGTTTCCTGATTTAAAGCTCGTTTGAACTTGAAAATACCGACGTTTGCCCTTCGAAACAATGCACGCCATTAAAAAGGTCGTCGTGACATCCACAAAAGTTCGCTCAAAAAATCGTGGGCGCACATATCGCATAAAATTCATGGACTATAACAATCGAAAAATGAAAAAATCTCTATGTCCCATTTCGAGCCTCGTTTGATCTTCAAAAATACCAACATGTTTCTCTCTGGACCAACACACTTTATTAAATAAGTTGTCAGTGACGGCCACAACAAAATTCTTCCAATAAATCATTGGGTGCACATATTATTCAAAATTCACGGACTTTAACACACGAAAAATTAAACAAATCCTTATTTTCTGTTTCAGGGCCTCATTTGAACTTGGAAATACTAGCATTTTTCCTTCGAACCAACGTATGCCATTTAGTACGATGCCCACAATTTTTTTTCGGGTGCTCTAAGACGCTAGATCCATGGTCTAATACATGAAAAACCAAGAAAATTGCGTAATTCCTAAAAATTGGCTCTAAGATGCGAAAATATGCCTTAAAAAATTGTGCGACTATACATAATAATTTCCCAACTCACTACGAAAGTCTTCATTAAGTTTTTTAGAAAATTTTGTTGGCTGCTCACAGATGCCAAATCTATGGGCTAAAACACATGAGGAACCAAGAAAATCGCGTAATTCCTAAAAGTTGGCTCGTAAATGTTAAAATATACCTTAAAACAATGGTGCAACTATACATATTGTTTCCCAACTCATTACGGAGGCCCTCATAAAACTTTTTCAGAAAAAAATTTGGTGCTCCAAGCGCCACATCCATTAGCTAATAATCACGAAAAAATAAGTCACGTAATTCCTAAGAAAATGGCTCGAAAATGTGAAAATATGCCTGAAAAAATGGTGGGAGTGTATGTAATGCTTCACAAACTCAAAACATAGTTTCTCATAAAGTTTTTTTGAAATTTTTTTGGATGCTCTGAGACGCCAGATCCAAGGGTTAATACACACAAAAAATCAAGAAAGGTGTAATTCCTAATAGTTAACTCGTAAATGTGAAAATATGCTTGAAAAATTTGATGGGTCTGTACGTAACGTTTCCCCAACCCATTATGGAGGTCGACATGACGTTTTATAGTAAAAATATAAGGATTCTCCAAAGCGCCAAATCCATAGGCTAATACACATGAAAAAAAATCAAGAAAGTCATGTAATTCCTCAAAGTTGGCTCGTAAATGCGAGAATATGTCTGAAAAAATGGTGGGAATGTACGTAGCGCTTCCCCAACTTATTGTGGAGGTCTTGATAAAAAAAAAATTCTGAATTTTTTTTAGATGCTTCGAGGCATCAGATTCATGGGCTAATACACACGAAAACCAAGAAAATCACGTAATTCCTAAAAATTGGCTCCTAAATGCACAAATATGTCTGAAAAAATAGTGAACTTGTATGCACTGCTTTTTCAACTCGTTATAGAGGTCATTATAAAAAAATTTCAGAATAAGTTTTAGGGTGCTCTGAGGCGCCAAATCAATGGGTTAAAACACACGATAAACCAAGAACATCGCGTACTTTCTAAAAATTGGCAAAACAATGCGAAAATTTGCCTGAAAATTATGGTGGTACTGTACATAACGCTTCCCCAACTCATTATAGAGGTCCTCATAAAAAAATTTCAGAAAAAAATGTGGGTGCTTTGAAGCATTAGATCCATGAACTAATACACACGAAAACTAAAAAAGTCACTTAATTCCTTAAAATTGGCTCATAAATGCGAAAATATGCCTAAAAAATGGTGGGATTGTATGTAACACTTCCCTAACACATTACTGAGGTCCTCATAAAGATATTTCATAAAAGAAATTGGGTGTCTCCAAGGCCTCAGATTCATAGGCTAATACATACGAAAAATCAAGAAAGTCGCATAATTCCTAACAGTTGTTTCGTAAATGTGAAACTTGCCTTAAAAAATGGTGCGACTATACATAATGCTTCCCCACCTCATTACAGAGGTCCTCATAAAGTTTTTTTGGAAATTTTCTTTGGGTGCTCCAACGCGCCAGAATCATGAGCTAAAACACACGAAAAACCATAAAAATAGTGTAATTTCTAAAATTTGGCTCGTAATTGTGGAAATATGCCTTAAAAATTGTGCGACTATATGTAATGCTTCTCCAACTCATTACGGATGACCTCGTAAAGTTTTCTCAGAAAAATTTTGGGTGATCCAAGGCGCCATATCTATGATTTAATACACACGAAAATCGAAGAAAATTGCGTAATTCCTAGAAGTTGGCTCGTAAATGCGAAATATACCTTAAAAAATGGTGCGGCTATACATAATGCTTTCCCCACTTATTATGGAGGTCCTCATATAGTTTTTTCAGAAATTTTTTTGGGTGCTCCAAGATGCTAGAAGCATGGGTTAATACACACGAAAAATTAAGAAAGTCGCGTAATTCTTAAAAGTTGGCTAGTAAATGTGAAAATATGCCTTAAAATGGTGTGACTATGCGTAATGCTTCCTCAACAAATT